TCTACGGATCCCAGTAAGGCCGCCGACATCTACGGATCCCAGTAAGGCCGCCGACATCTACGGATCCCAGTAAGGCCGCCGACATCTACGGATCCCAGTAAGGCCGCCGACATCTACGGATCCCAGTAAGGCCGCCGACATCTACGGATCCCAGTAAGGCCGCCGACATCTACGGATCCCAGTAAGGCCGCCGACATCTACGGATCCCAGTAAGGCCGCCGACATCTACGGATCCCAGTAAGGCCGCCGACATCTACGGAACCCAGTAAGGCCGCCGACATCTACGGATCCCAGTAAGGCCGCCGACATCTACGGATCCCAGTAAGGCCGCCGACATCTACGGATCCCAGTAAGGCCGCCGACATCTACGGATCCCAGTAAGGCCGCCGACATCTACGGATCCCAGTAAGGCCGCCGACATCTACGGATCCCAGTAAGGCCGCCGACATCTCTCCGCTGTTGAAGACTCTTGTGAACTGGCCGGACCAGACAGGTGGAGCCGAGGGTTGAGTCTCAACCCTCGGGTGGTTGAGAGCCAGGGGGCGGTCGGTCCCTCTGTGCGGTTCTCTTCCTCTTCCTGATGCTGGAGATTGGAACAGCTTAAGCCGCACGAGAGAGCGGCGTGTAGGCATAGTGTGACCCAACTTGTTCTTTGCCTCAGATAATGACTACAGGTTCTGCTCCATTAATGATTTCCCCTAAGAGTCGCTTCATGAAGGTAATTATTAAGGTAAGAACTTGGAGGTAATCATTAAAGAGAGGTATAAAACAGACCCCAAGATTCCAAGTGGTTGCAACCACCCTCCCCCTCTACCACCCTCCCCCTCTACCACCCTCCCCCTCTACCACCCTCCAACCACCAAACGAACTCTTCTCTATAACCGCCCCCAACCAAGTTCACCCCCACCAATATCCAACTCCATCCACTTCCCCTTCATTTTCCCTCTCCCCATCCTACCCACCATCTCCAGCAGGGATCTCAACTGAGGTGGAAAATTAAGTCCAGGACGGCGTGAGTGTGTTTACGGACAGTTGGAAGTTCCAGGAGGTTGAGACGCGTCTACAAGCTCGCCTCTGGAACCTGGAGGGCGGCTGGATCTTGATCGTGTGCGACGGAACGGTGGACAGTTAGAGGTTCCAGGAGGTTGAGACGCGTCCAGAAGCTCGCCTCTGGAACCTGGAAGGCGGCTGGATCTTGATCGTGTGCGATGGAACGGGAAATGTCCCCTCCGCGAGTGGGTCTATGGGCAGATTAAGTTTTGGAAATGTTCTGCGTTTGGATTTTGTGGTCCGGAATGTTCTTGCGGTTTGTGAAGGTCTTCGGCGAGACTGACTTTTTCCAAGTAATGGGCGCCTTGAGGTGCTTGAGGGGCGCCTACAAAGATGCTGATAAAGTCTTTTATTATATAAGACTTGTAATATAGTACAAAAATCTTTTGTAATATAAGACAAATCTCATTGGTTTAATGGCACGTTTCATGTCGATTAATGTCGTCATTTAGCTACAGCTGGTAATATATTTTATATTTGTTATATTATGATCGTTAGAGGAAGACATAGAGAAAGAAGGCACTAACACCTGAATAAACTAGGAATGTGGAGGTCGGCCACCCTGGGTGTTGTGCCTCTGGTGGGCTGGAAAATGGGGGGGGGGGGGCTCCAGGGCGGTGGTGGCAGTGATGGGCCAGGAGCTTCCCTCCCACCACTACTGCCACCCTTCCCATCCCTCCTCCTTCCTCATCTCCACCACTGTCCCTCCCACCTGCAACTCCTCCCCCCCCCCTATTACTACTACCAGTAGCCCTTAGCCCACCTGGTCCCGCCGCCACCACCACCAAATCACAGCCCTCTTCGCCTCCATGGCGCTCTGGAATACTTATTTTATATTTTGAGAGAAAAAAGAAGTTACCATTATTTTAATTAAGACCGTACTTGGTGCATCACCACCACAACTGACCCCACCACCACCACACCTGACCCCACCACCACCACAACTGACCCCACCACCACCACACCTTAAGAACTAGCTATGGTGATGGGGTCGTGACCTGACCCCACCACCACCACAACTGACCCCACCACCACCACACCTTAAGAACTAGCTATGGTGATGGGGTCGTGACCTGACCCCACCCCACCCCCTCCCTCTGGCTCTTTCAATTTAATTTTTCTGTGGCTAATTTTATTTCAGTGATATTTTCATTTATTTCAGATACCTGAGACAGTCCTCGGCAGTGCTGAAATTGACTAAATGTTAAATGTAATTTAATTATCTGTAATTGATGTGTGATGAGTGTGTTATTGTAAACATTTAGTTTAGCTATAATCCAAACGGTAATTGGTAGGTTTTAAGAGTTGCATAATCTTTTATATATATTATGGTTGATTTCTATGTTCGGTGAAGGAGAAGTGTGTGGGTGGCAGCGTCCTGGTGGACAGGTGCCGGCGGCGAGGCTGCGCAAGTGGAGGAGCTGCTTCTCCCAGCACTAGTATTAAGCTCTCTCATGACTACCCCCACAGGTTTATCAATGCCCGCCGGCGGATAGTTCAGCCTCTCATAGATCAATCAAACCGGGCGGGTGCCAGTGGTAAGTCGTTCCGGAACACAGCTCACGCCCGCCCACGCCCACATGCCCTGCACGCCCACACGTCGTAGGCCTGACCAGTCACTCATTGTAATCTGTGTGTGTGGGGGTTTGCGGGTGCTGAGGGCGTGGGTAGCCCACACCAGTCACATGTCCACACGCCAACACGGTTCTATCTACACGCATTCGTTCTGATTTCACCCACGCGTGCACTGTCTCCCTCTGCTTCACGCTTGCCTCACCTGTTCGGGGTGCCGACTGCCTCGAGGGGCAGCCGGCGGTCACTGCGGGCCATGGGGAGGCCCCCCTCTGCTTGCTGGGTCTTAACCCCCCCCCACTCCCTCCCTCCCTCCCTCCCTCCTCCCTATTCAAGTCAACGCCATCTTGCCGGTATTTAGACACACCTTCGACCCCCGGCAATGTCTTTGGGTTGTCATTGTTCCTCCCGTCCATCACTGCATGACTCCCTCCCGTCCCCCAGACTCCCCATGGCTTCTGTAAGACCTCGTGCCTCGTGGGCGCGAGCTCCCCCTACCCCAACATCTCCCCCCCCTACTCTGGGGCCGCGGCGGGGCGTGGTGTCGCACAGCTTCAGGTCTTAACCCCCTTTCTTTCTCTCTCCTCCCAAAGGTTCATCAATGCGCGACGTCGTATAGTGCAGCCTATGATTGATCAAAGTAACCGCGCTGGTAAGTCAGTCACTCAAATGGACAGTCAATCATTCCAAATACAGTTAGTCAAGCAGCAGTTTGGATCACGGGGGAAGGGACGAGGTCTCTACATCCCCCACCCCCACTCCCCCCCTTTTCAAAACTGCATTGACTTGCCGTGATTGGTGATCACTGTAGTATTATTGGCACTGCTGGCGTGCCGTGGCTGGGGTCAGAGAGACTGCCAGGGTGTGTGTGGGGGGCGCTCCGTGGCCTGGTCCAGGGGGCGCGCCTCCCCCTCACCTCACGTTCCTCTGGGCACCTTCGCCGGGCCGCACCTACAGCAGACCAAGATCTGAGAGTGCAGCCGTAGAAGAAAGCCGTAATTTTGTGATTGATGATTATAAATTTTCTACCTATTAACCTGACGATCAACGTAGATACAAGTTAATTACGAGTAGATTGATTAGTAGATGGAGAGAATGGATCCAGGTGGAGGGGGGATGCCACTATCCACCCACCAAGCAAGACTCCTTATGGAGGGTTGAGTTAGGGTTCAACACTCTCTTCCCTGATTTGACTGTCACTTTTTTCAGCTCTGATTCTTTACTAACTGCTTGGCCCACTGCATGTCTGCATGATTCTTGCTTATTTAAAACTAATTCGCTTACTAAAATGTGTTGCCGCATTTTTTTGTAGCTTTAGAAAACTAATATTTTACGATGACCTGAAAAGGCATTTAATCAATGCTTTAACAGGGGTCGCGCCGTCAGAACATCATATGAATTGAACAAGGCATCAGAACATGTCCATAGAACGCGACAGTAGAAGCTAAAGTCGATTAAAACATTCTTAATACATTCTCCCAGAAGCCGAAAACGTGGTGGAAGTGGAATGAATTAAGGAGAGCCGAGGCAAGAAGAGGGTAATAAATGGGTATGCGAGGGGACTTAACTCTCAACTCCCCTCTTTTGCCTCGACTTTTCATTCACCAGTTCTGCCGCACATCAAATTAAAAGCGTTCCCCCCCAAAGTTTTCCATTTAGGCGGCTGATGAAAAATTCACGGTTGCCTACTTTCCATAAATGTTTTTCCATTTCCGGCCTCATTAACATGTTGCGAGTTTGTTTAAACTTTCCTCCCGGCCCAGGCTCGATTGCCTGCTTCCCTCCACCCCCCACCCCCGCCCTCACTCAGAGGGGCCCGCAATATAGTTTAACGCGCGCCAGCCCCCCAACCCCAATTCATTTTGACATGGTTTTTGCTGTTTCTCCACCTGCGTATGACACGTTAATGGGATAGCAATAGATGCCTTGGACGGTAATTGTGTCTTAGTGTGTGTGTTGTGGTCCGCGCTGAGGCTGATGGTCGATTAGCGTAGTTAAGGGGTAAGAAACTCTGAGCCCTCACAGAAAACGGGCGTTTTAAAGTCGGTATCGGATTTGCAACTCGCATGTTTTCTCAGATTTCAATTGAAGGAAATGGGGAATTTTCGAGCATTATTCTTTGCCACTCAATGCATGACGGTACGAATGGGTAGGGGAGCCTGGCAGTAAAGGGAAGAATATGGGGCGGGGGGGAAACCTATTCGGGAAAATTGGGTTCACTAGAAATTGCGTTCACTCAGAATGGCGCTGAACGAATGGCCTGACGTGGCCGCGGCAACTTGAAGGAACGCTTACACAAATGACTAGTTGATTCCCTTCCCATCCGCCCAATTCAACGGAGAGCAAAGATAGCACGCCATGAATAGAATTTTGGAAAAGCTAGAGAGCCTTAAGAAAGCCAGGTAGCCAGAAGTGCGAGAGTCCCGTTAACGAGACGCGGGAAGACCGACCCTATTCACACACACACACACACACACACACACACACTCTCTGATTTCCATTCAAGGCTGCTTTGAATTCTTCCAATTAATTCAGGGGTCCCGGAGTTCTCGGTACGCCAGGGAAGAACCGAGATCATTTACACCGGCAATAGTGCCCTGAAACCCTTCTGGATCGTCGGTACGAAATACCAAGGAGAGAAAGTCGAAGAATTGACGAATGGACACCTATTCTTGTGGCTCCTGCGGGTAGTTTCACGGGACTGAGACCAATTTGTGGGGATTCATGTCGCCTGCCCCTTGTTGCAGGGGGTGGGAGGCCCTGACCACCTGCCCCTTGTTGCAGGGGGTGGGAGACCCCGGTCACCTGCCCCTTGTTGCAGGGGGTGGGAGACCCTGACCACCTGCCCCTTGATGCAGGGGGTGGGAGGCCCTGACCACCTGCCCCTTGTTGCAGGGGGTGGGAGGCCCTGACCACCTGCCCCTTGTTGCAGGGGGTGGGAGGCCCTGACCACCTGCCCCTTGTTGCAGGGGGTGGGAGACCCTGACCACCTGCCCCTTGTTGCAAGGGGTGGGAGACCCTGACCACCTGCCCCTTGTTGCAGGGGGTGGGAGGCCCTGACCACCTGCCCCTTGTTGCAGGGGGTGGGAGACCCTGACCACCTGCCCCTTGATGCAGGGGGTGGGAGACCCTGACCACCTGCCCCTTGATGCAGGGGGTGGGAGACCCTGACCACCTGTCCCTTGATGCAGGGGGTGGGAGACCCTGACCACATGCCCCTTGATGCAGGGGGTGGGAGACCCTGACCACCTGCCCCTTGATGCAGGGGGTGGGAGGCCCTGACCACCTGCCCCTTGTTGCAGGGGGTGGGAGACCCCGACCACCTGCCCCTTGTTGCAGGGGGTGGGAGACCCCGACCACCTGCCCCTTGTTGCAGGGGGTGGGAGACCCGGTCACCTGCCCCTTGATGCAGGGGGTGGGAGACCCTGACCACCTGCCCCTTGTTGCAGGGGGTGGGAGACCTAACCACCTGCCCCTTGTTGCAGGGAAGGAATGCCCCTATCCACCTTGCTCATGACGGCAATAAGGTTGGGAGAGCGCCAGAAACAACAACATCGAGTCCATTGTTAACAATGGACTCGATGAAAGATGAAGACCGCGACAGACTGGTCATAACTCGGCCCATACATGACAAGCCTGGCCTCGGGCCGGGCTTGGAGGAACTCATTAACTCAACTCAGAGGAACTCGGAGGAACTCAACAGAATAACCCTCGGAACTGACTCCAGGTAAACGCAGACAATGTTCCTATGCCCCCTGGGGGCCCGATATATGTCATTTGGCGTTCATACATTGCTAATTATCAAGGGTCACTCAATATATTCTGAAGGAGAAGTGTAGGGACAGGTCCTGAGGGCCCTGAGCTCTGGGGGCGCCGCCCCACTCCACACGGGAGGCAGAGGAACTCTTGTCACAACGCTACCCAACGCTCACACTATCATCACATGTCATTAAGGTTTGTGTCCACTGTTAAGAAGTTTTCCGAAAAACAAGAGTTGCGTCACCCAGGTCAACACCGGTTTTAGGGCAGCAACATCTCGTCTTTTGCAGCAGCTTGGCAAAATATTTGAGGCATTAGTAGCTGCTCAAAATGCTGTCATTTTTTTTAAATAAATAAATAAATAAATAAATAAATATATATATATATATATATATATATATATATATATATATATATATATATATATATATATATATATATATATATAATATGAATGATAAATGATGCCTCCATTATTGTCTATAAAAGTAAAGCTAAGTGAATAACAGGTAAAAAGGGAGGTGGATTTTACATTTTTCTAAGAGTGCAGAGAGGTACAGTAAATGGACCAGACTCCAGCCTCGAGTACTGTACCGTACTGGGTCCCACATCCTCCCACTCGCACAGTTTCCTATCATTTTTCGCTGCTAGCATAAGACTTAAGTATGAAAATGACCTCGACGGAGGCAGAATACAGATATCAACGAGGACTTGAGGCACCTAACAGATAACAATGACGCTCAGGGGTGACACATTTCCAATCCTGCTGGACCAATACGACGGGAAACATCAAAAGGAAGGCAGGATGCTGAGTCGTCTTCATCTCCCCGCAGAAGGGGAGCGACCAAGTGAGCGATCTTGTCATACTAATGTCCAAAGACCTTAAGTTTAGAGGCCACGGGAAGGGAAACACAGCAACAACCAGGACGACTAATGGCTGGATAATGAGAACATTAAAGACCTGGAATATAAAACCAAAGATAACATCTCCGGCGCTATCTTATTTCTTATCTAAACGGAATATTTCAAGCTAATCACAGTCCCCCTTCAAAGCAGGCTGGATTGTAAAGATAGAAAATACATAGACATCTTGTATTGCTCTTAATAGAATCGGTGAAAATTGTGAACTACCGTGTCTGAGAGGATTTAAACTGTACTGCCTGTAACAGAACCAGAGAGTGAGAAGTGTGGTTGGAAATGTAAA